AATAAGCCCAGAGAGCTCAGCTGCCCTGTGTGCACCTCCTGACAGGGCAGAAGCTGAGGGGTGAGAATACCACACAGGTGTCGGGAGCGGGGGGACTTCAGCGGGCTTGATAGCTACAATGAGGAACCTGGTCTTCTTTCTAGAAGCAACAGGGCTAGGGGAGAAGATTGGAGTGTTTTAAATAATGGGCTCTGGCTCGCTCTGAAGGCACCCCTCTGACCACCGTGCATGCAGACTACTCATTGTAGGAGAAAAAAGAGGCGCCAGGGGAACGGTGAGGAACCCAGGAAGCCATCCAGGCATGAGACGTCAGACATTTGGACAAGGGTGTGTCCAGGGAAAAGCAAGATGCATGGATCAGGCTGGGAACTGGGGCAGGGCCAGGGCTACCCTGCTTCCCTCCTGCCCCAGCCAACCAGGGCAGGCTGCCATGCCATCTGTAAGTGGGGCCCCAGCTTAGGGAATGGGGACAGAGCTGCCAGGCACAAGTGCTCGCCACCCAGCAGGGATTCCAAAACACAGCACCCTCGTTATTGTAAATTGGTCCAAGTTGGGGAGGAGGCTATGTGTACATCTCACCCCCATCTGCCCCCATCTGTGCCACAGTTCCACCAAGATGACTTGGGACTAGCCCCCAGCCCTGCTCCTGGCTTGCTCGGGATGGTTGGCCTAGAAGACAGTACTGGTCCCTCAAGGCAGCTCCAGACTGGAGTGTCCTCTGGGTCCAGAACTAGGAGGGCAAGGGACAGGTCTCCTGGCTGCTGGAGACAGATGTTCCCATCTCCCTCCCCACCTTCTGCTGTGGCTTTTCTCATACATCAACTGAACTCAAGTCCACACCACGGGTGGGTCATGTGACAAAGGCAGTGGTCATGGTGATTGGTGGGGCCACTAGCCAAAGAGGAAAGTGGTGACTGACAAGCCGCTCCTCCCCTCAAAATCCTCCCTCATTCTGACCCTGGGGTCCAGGACAGGGTGTGGCTCAAGTATCCCAGAGTGGAAAGACCACTGCAGAGTCAAGGATATGATATGGCCCTAGCCTGTTTGGCTCAGTGGATAGAGCATTGACCTGTGGACTAAAGGGTCCTGGGTTCAGTTCCCATCAAGGGCATGTACCTCGGTTGTAGGCTCAATCACTGGCCCTGGTCAGGACTAGTGGAAGGCAATCAATTGATATCTCTCTCACATTGATGTTTCTCTCTGTCTCTTCCCCTCCCTTCCACTCTCTCTAAAAATCAATGGAAAAATATCCTCGGATGAGGATTAACAACAACAAAAAAAGATAAATAAACAAATAAAGTTGATTTTTAAAAAAAAGGATATGATATGGACCCAAGGCCTGGGATGCAGAGGCCACTGCCAGATCCTACAAGGGCCCGGGCAGCCTGGGTGCCAAGCCTGCGCCTAAAGAGTCCTGGAGGTTATCAGTGCAACTGGTGGCTACCTGTCAGACAGCACTGTGGCCAGGAGCAGTTAACTGTCATTACTGAGGGGCCTGGCATTCCCAGGGGCAGAGAGGTAGACAGGGCACCCCTGCCTGCCTCAGTCTGGCCTGACTGGGTTAGGAGCTGAGCAGGCAGCTGGGCTGCAGATGAGCCTTTATTCCTGCCCATCCCCACCCTCCAGGAAGCTGGGTAAACACAACAGAACTGGGACAGTGAGGGCCTGGGGCCTGTGGTATGGGCAGGGTCTGGGGAATGGGACCTGTGACTTGCCTGTGGTAGGCCGGGCAGAACTGTGTGAGGACCTGGTAGGAGGCTGTTAGACACACAGGAGTCACCTCACGCTCACTGTGCAGCAACCCCACAAGGTTTCCGGGAGGGAACGTCCACTGGGCAGCAGGATGCCAAATTATCTCAAGTCATGCGTGCAGCCCAGAGTTGGGCAGACCCAGCTTTACTCCTGCCCCACCTCTCAAATGAGTAACCTGGGACCTCAGTTTCCTCATCAGGAACATGGGACAACCCAGCTTGGTGTCTCAGGGCTGAGAAGAGAGCTCTAGGATGGCCTTCAGAGTCACCAAAGCTATACTGTGTGTCCCTGCGCGGGCCCTAAATCTCTCTGAGCCTCAGTTGCTCACCTGTGACATGTGGCCAAGCGTACCTCAAGGGGTGTGTAAGGATCAAGTTTAGACCTCTTGTGGCACTCTCGCAATGCCCGCTAGCTCGCGTTAGCTGGTGTGATTATCATTTCCCTGCGCCGCGGCACCTCCAGCCCCCACCCTCCAACCCTCAAGGTCACATGGAAGAACACAGTTCCAGACTTTATTTCTTAAATAGTTCTCTCTACCCAGCATGTGCACACAGCCTGCTTCGGCTGGGCGACGGGCATAAATTAAGGTTACTGAGTTTCCCCAGACAGGGCGTGGGCTGGCCTGGCCTCTCAGTCCCAGCCAAAGTCCTGGCCGATCATCTGGTAGAACTTGCGGTTGAAGGGCTGGTAGAAGTCCCGCAGACGCTGGACCACTGCCTCGGGCACCCGGGGGTGGGGCCGGCCCTTGGACTTGCCCAGGCAGCGGGGGCGGCTGCTCCCCTGGGCCTTCTTGAGGCAGGGGAAGCCCTTGGTGGCATTGAAGTAGAAGTGCTTGTCCGTGACGACCCTTTTGAGGCCCAGGAAGTCCTGCACTCGGCCAACTTCTCCAGCCGGGTCACTGACCAGGCGCTCGCCGCTGACAAACAGGAAGTGGGACAGAGGGAAGTATCGAAGCCAGTTGTCCAGGTGCTGGGCGTAGAGGCCAATGCGCACGGCACTCCAGGCCGTGTCCACAGGGCCCAGGCCGTGGCGGAAGGCCAGGGCTCGGAAGCTGGGCAGGCCCGGGGTCTTGGAGAGCGTCTGGGCGTAATCGGAGATGGCCCGAGTCACGGGGTTGCGAACCACCACGATCAGCTTCGTGTCCGGGGACATGCTGTGGATGCGGCGAGGGGCCTCGAGAGTCACAAAGTAGCTGGGAGTCTTCTCCATGGTGATCTGCCCGTCCAGGGTGCGTGGCATCAGGCTCCTGCGGGTGTGTGGAAGGAGAGGTGGGCATGAGAGGGTGCTGGTCCCCTCAAGCCCTCCCATTATAGACCAGCCTCAGGGACCCCAGATTCACTTCCCACTCCCCCAGGCCCACCCATCCTAAAGTGCCAGATGGGCAGCCTGGGAGGTGGGTTGAGAGCACCTGCCCCAGCACAGGCCAACAGGGCAACAGGGGGTGGGGGGGCTGTCCTGCCAGGCTGCCCACTCTAGCTAGCTTGCCCCAACCCTCACACTGCTGTGCCTCTCACGCCTGACCAAGCACCAGTAGGGCCAGTGACCCGGACTTGCCATCCACAGGGCTCTGCCCACCCTCCCCACCTCACAGGCCCCTCCCTGCACTATAATTACCCCAGGTCACACTTTGGTTAAATGGCTGAAGTTGTCCCCTAGGTTAGGCCATTAATTATTGACAAGTGTCCCAACAAAGGACAGCTGCTCTTTTCATTCCCTCCCCTGCAGAGCCCCGTGCCCCACTGATTACAGCCCTGCTAGTTCTCATTGCCCTGGGCCCAACTCAAACGCCTTCACACAGCCCAGCACCTTCGGGAACAGTGAGTGAGGTGGCCTGAGGACCCCTCCCAAGAGCTCAGCAGTCAGGGCCTCCCAGACCTGGCTCGGACCCCAGGGTGCAAGGCTGTGACTGCAGCATTTCTGATGATTCCTCTCATTCTGATTAGGGGAGTGGGGCACTGACCAAGGTTCCGGGAGAGTTGGCTGATGACAGCCCCCTGACTGCCCCAAACTTGGGGAAGCCCCTCCAAGCACCCCACTGGGCAGGCAGGTACCCTGAGCAGTTTCCCAAGGCCAAGCCTCACCTCCAGGTACCGCAGGGAGAGGCGGGCAGGGTGTGGCAGGGCCAGCTGAGCAAACAGCTCCAAGGGAGGACCTGAGAGAGGGCTGGAAACTAGGTAGATGGAGGCAGAGCCTGTGGGACCTGTGCCTTCAGAGGAGGCAGTCTCTGCCCAAGGCCCTACCCTGCCTCCAGTCCTCTGAGGGGACTCTCCTTGCCCCCACAGGCAGCCTCCTGGTCTGGCCCCACCCAGGAGGTAATACACAGGGCAAGTTCAGGTTTCATCCAGCCTTCACCCAGCCTAAGAGACCCCCAGGCAGGGCCCCAGCTTCCTCTTCCTCCTTAGCCCCCATGAAACTCAAGCTGGGTGACCACACAGGTGTGCAGACCCACATGCTGGGGTGCTTGGCTTGGAGCGTGCTTTGGGTGAATCCCAGGCGTACCAGTGGCTCCCCTGCCACCATCCACAGCCTCTGGGGAGATGGTGGGTTGATGGTCTTCAGGCTTTGGGAGCTTCCCTCACCCCCCAAAACAAGGTCCGGGGCAGAGCTGGTCTACAGAAGTCACAGGAAAGGGAGGGATGACAATTCTGCTTCCCCATCATGGTGACAAAGCAAGCTGGAAATCGCCCTCCAACCCACTCACTGCCCCATGTGATAGGCAGGCACACTGGCGCTCAGAGAGGGGGTGGAAAGCTCGAGGGAGGTGTGGACACGGCCACAGCACTCCCACCCTGGGCTGCAGCAGCTGGAAGGGGCAGTGTCAGCGTGGCCTCTGCTCCCAGAGGCCCTGCCCCCATGCCCTGCCTTGTGCCCTGGGAATACAGGCCCAGCCCTCCTGGGATAAGTTCAGTGAGACCTCGGGTGTCAACAAGGACTGAGGCCAGGGCTGCAGCCTGGAGTAGCCAGCTCAGGGGGTTCCCTTTTCCCCAAGAGGGAATCAGAAGACGAGGAGTCTCCCCCACTGGACCTCACTGCTGAGACCCATGAAGAGAAGCCTGGGCTGGGACAGACGGACTGCCAGGTGGATCAGAAGTCACTGCCCTCCCTTCATGGCCCTCCTCAGGGAAGGGGCCAGCCCTGATTACTCCCGGGCCCTCCCCTCCCATCTTGGACACCCCCTTCCCATCCCATTCTCCCCCCAGGAACCAAGTGACCCCAGAAGCACATCCTCTTTCCCCACCCAAACTGGGCACTTTGGGTTCGGAACACCCCACCCCCACCCCACCCTCCTGCCTGAGGGAAGGAAGCTGCAAGCAAGGACACCAGGGAAGCCAGAGGAGCAGAGGGGGAGGTGCTTCCGGAACCCTGTGGAAGGGGGATGGGAATGGGGATGGACCACAGATTTTCCAGGCCCACTCCTGCCACAAACCAGCTTTGAGATCGGAGATCTTTGGGACCAATTACTAGTACTATTATCCTCACCCGCCCTCAGACGCCTGTCCTGGACAGGACATGGAGAAGGGTGGGGATGGAGGCTTGGGGTGGGGGTGGGGGATGCAGACAGGGGAGGGGATGAGAGGAATGGGATTCTGACCTCCACACAGCAAACATCTGACAAGTTGTTCCGAACCCTCCCTTTGCATCTGGTCTGCATTTCCCTGCGGCTTCCATCCAGCCCCAAACTCCTCTCCCTCCTGGTCTCATCCAGCCTTAGGTCCCACATCTCTCCTGGGCCCCATCCAGCCAGGCCTGGTTCTGAGCAAAAGCTACTTCGGGTTCCCGTGTGGATCCATAGGGTGCTGGGGGTGGGGCATTGGTCCCCAGCCACAGGAGCTTCTCCTGGGATAGCACAGGGAGAAAAGCCCCACAGAAGCCCAGGTCCCTCCCCCACATACTCAGAACCCCACTCCCTCATTAGCCCCAGGAGCCAAGCGGGTTTCCCCACCTGCACCCTCCTATCTCCTCTCGCTTTTCCCAAATCCTAAGGTCAAAGTATAGCCCCACCCGCCCCCAGACAAGAGAGCCCTTCTGATGAGGCCTTGGAGTGCTTGTCTGCCAAACAGAAGATGCTCAGTGAGTGAACGAATAGATGAGAAAATGCTGAGTGTGGGGGTACCAGGAGGTCACAATCCCCAAGATGGAGGACCCTCAAGAGCCTGAGAAAGGGGCTAACTGCAGCCCAGTTAGAGGGAAAGTTTGGCCAAGACTAACTTTGGGCAGCCCAGAACCACCTGCCAAGGCCCTGGGCAGGGCCAGGGCCACTGCCTGGAATGAGGTCAGTCACAGCCCAGTGGGGATGGGTGCCCCAGAAACTCAGCTGGGGGTACCGGCCGCTCCTCCTTTACTCACCACCCTAGCCCTCCACCCAGAGCAGGGCTCTGCACTCCTGGCGGCTCAGCCAGGGTCCTGAGAGCCAACACCAGCAGACCATGCCCAGGGGTTGGGCACCCTCTTTGCAGCTGGGGAAGGGGGGGTCGCATTTTCAGAGGTTCGCCGCACACTCCGAGTAGGTTGAAAGAAAAAAAATGGCCAGAGGCACGGACACCTGTGAGCCCCCCAAGCCGCTTGTACATGTCAGCACACGGCCACATGCGCTGGTACTCTGCACCCACACTCCATCTCGGGTCCTGAGAATTCAGTAGGAACAGCACCCAGCCCTCTTGGGATAAGTCCCGGGAGACAGAACCCTTTGAGGGCACCCCAGAAGCTCCACCAGCTCAGCCCCTGCACCAGCCAACAAGGGGTCGGCCCTAGCCAGCCCAGAGGGACAGCTCCCAATTAAGGGGGCAAGGCCACCAGAACCTGCCCCTCTGCACCCCCTCTCCCTCCCGGTGGAAGTGGCTCTAAAAATAAAGCAAAAGTCCCTTCTCGACCAGAGCTAGACTCGCTCCTGGCTCCCTTCCCTGGTTCCTGAGAAACCCCAGAGCTGAGGATCTCACCTCCAGTCTGGGTCTCATGCCTACTGCCTCTCAGGCCCTCATCCCCCCCAGACCTGTCCCTCAGAGCTGGAGCATGCACCCCGGAGCCTGCAAGGGGCCTCAGGCTTCCTGACTCTGAGAACCCTTTTAGGGCTAAACCCAGTCTAGCCTCCCCTGCAGCGCCCCCCCCCCTATTAGCCCAGCTCAGTGTCTCCCCCAGCTTCTTGCAGTCAAAGTTCTTGGGATCAGTGTGGACTCTGAGGTTTGCCCTACAGTTATAGTGTGTCCTCCACCGTCCCACCCGCTTCCACTCCCCCCCACCTCCTCTTCTCTGTCCTCTCCACAGCAGTAGGTATAGAGACGCTTTGGGTGCCAGTGGCACCGTCAGGGTGGGTGGCGGTCTGAGCTCTGACGCCAGAATTCAGCTAGGTGGATTCAAGATGGACTCGCCGCCTCCCAGCACCACTCAGCTTCCTGAGGGTCCCCTGGTGGCAGCAACCCTTGAGAGCTCAGGAGCTAGGACCCCTGTTTCACTGGGGCTCTTCCAAACCCATGAGTGGTTGTTAAGGCAAAAGGCCAAGAAAGCCAATGGGGGTGGAGGTGAGGAATCTGGGTACAGAGAAGCTAGGATACCTGGAGAGTCTGGGTTCCGCTGCCCCCAACTCCACACTCATTCACCAGGTGGCCTTGGGCAGGGTCCTCTCTGCACCATGGAGGCTGGTCCCAAGCTGGGGCTAAGGTGAGAGCTGGGGCGGGTGGGAGACTCACTCTCCATCTGTAAGCTCTCATTTCTGCCACAGGAAGGGACAGGGCAGGTGGCAGGCTTGTGTGTAACTGAGGAGGCTGCGGGCAGTGCCAACCTCAGCCCGGAGGGGCTGTTTCACCTGGGGATAGGTGCTCCCCCACATTCCACACGGTACCCCAAGGCCATCCCCCCGTGAGGCAGGGTGCCATGACATGAAGCAGGGGTCCTAATTCCCACCCTTGGGCACTGACTCAAAGCCACATCCTTCCTCCTAAAGCTCAGACCTTCTGCAGACCCGCAGGACCCCCGAGGACCCCTCTTCCCAGGATCAGGAGTCTGGGAGGCAGACCCTTTCTCGGAGACCGCCTCTGCTAAGGGTAACTGGCCGGCAGGGGAGGGCGACCGAGCCTGAAGAGTTTTTAACGCTCCTCAAACCCCGCGAGCCTGGAGGTACTTCTCAGCTGGGCTCGCACTCCCTCCCTGAGTCTTACTGAGACCCCTCAGCGGCCTCAAACCAAGGCTTTCCCTGGAGTTTTCAAAGTTTCTTGGAGCTCCCGGCCAGTGACCAAGCCTCGCCCGCCCCCCGCCCCCACGCC